GATGTTCTACCGACAGACAGGATACATATATCTAAATACATGACAAGAAATATGTTATACTATAATACGTATACAGTATGACTGAAATATGTCATACTGTATATGTTCCAAAGGTTTATGTTGTAGCAGCTTGATTTCTTCTTGTGTTTGGTTCAGTAGAAATACCATGTTGAGTATGAGACACAACAGCCTGGTTGGATTAAAGTCTTTCTAAATTAATATGTTAATGCCAGAATTATCTAAGTAGTGTTTTTCTAATTCAGTAGTCTTCTGGATAGTACAAAAATCTGCAAAGCTGGTGATTTTTCTTCACCATATGGTTCAAGTCCTTTCAGCATCACTTCACACAGTCTTCTCCTCTTTGTTTTGACAACATAAATAAATGCAAGTTGTTTATTGTGATCCCGTTGAGGCTTCAGTGAGGTGCCAGGTAGTTAGGACGGCCATAGTGAGATACAAAAGTGTGGTTATTGGAAGTTTGTGTGCTGCGTTGCAGAAGGGCGTGTCGCAGCAGTGTTTGGTCATGACAAAGATGGTTTTGTTAGAGAAGAGCTCCACTGTGGTTTCCACGCTGCACTCTTCTGCCTTCACACAACCTAAAGTCTTAATGTCCAGAGTGTCAGCTGGGGAGACAAGACAACGGTATTCAGTATAACATCTGTATGTAAAATAAAGCTAAATACATTTTATAATTTTATCCTGATAACATTTACACCCTCTAATGCATAGATATTTATTAATAATAATAATAATAATACACTGACTGAAAAATACAGTCTTATCCAACACACCTGCCTTCCCTCTGCCCGTGTAGCAGAGCTCCCCGTGGCTGCATTTGGTTTCGGTGGTGTAGCAGGCATCCCAGAAGCCCAGGTCACAACGGAAACACTCCAGAAACTCTACCTCTTCCTCAAATCCCACTGATTCCAAAAGCTGCTCTAGCTGCTCTTCATCCTCACCTGAGCCCGAGGAACAAAAATAAGAAATAAGACACAGTAAAGAAATGAACTCTGACAGAACAAAGGAGACCGTATCTAACAGCAACAAAAGAAAGGTTACTGAATGAATTATTGGTATTGAAAAGTCAAATTTTATGTCCCATATATTGAGTAAAAAGGACATAAAGGTTTTAATTTTACTTAACCTCTATTTAACCAGATCTCCCATTGAAATTGTAAAGTTATTTTACAAGAAAGACCTGACCGCAAAGTTAAAAGGTTGCGGAAATCAGCTGATCAATAAAACTATACTAAAAAACAGATAACTGTAATAACGGAGAATATCAACTACTAGCAATATAGATGTCCGATTAATGGATGAAAGGCTCTGGATTATTCAGATTTTGAGGCATTTATGTAATAGCTAGTTGGACACATTTATTATTCTGAGGGTGCTGAATGTGTGAAGTGTTGGAGCGCTGTCGAAGACATCAAGCCAAAGTGATGAGCCAGATTCTGCCGAACCTTTGAGTATCTCAGAAAAATTTTGTTTATTCAGCAGCAGTCTGGAGTTTGTTTCTTTGAGTGGATGACTTGTGTTATTCAGGGAGTGCTCCAAGTCTTCGGGCTGCATCATGTTTTTATTAACCAGACAGATACTGGAATTAATATAAAGAATTGGCAGCAGAACGTAGCGCAGGAGCGGGACAAACCCTTCTTACCACACTGTACTGCACAATCCTTTAAAATAATGCCATTAAAGCCACACATTAGCTCTTGAAATGCACGGAGGCTTCTTCCTAAAATGAGTGATTTATTGGCAGTGAGAAATAGGACCAAAAACTCAACAAAAAATAATTGTAAAGACAGCATATTTATATTTGCATACAATTACTTCGCATGGTAGTCTTGAATGTCTGAGATTTACGTTTGAAGTTTATTGTCAGAGCACACACAGTTGCCAAATAGCCAGCCTAAGTAATGTTACAAGGATAAGGGAGACTCACAATCCTTATCCCTTCCTCATCTTGTTAGCTAATTCTCGCTAAGGTGAACAAACACACAAGAGTAGTGAGGTGAAGTTCAGTGTGAGAAGAGTGCGGTCTAATACAATCTACAAAAAACTGGAAGCTGTAATGTTCATGAAGTTTGGATTAATTGCAGAGCTGCGATGCTTAATCGATTTGTGGATTTACACAAAATGTGATTCCGATGATCAATCAATTTGATGGTTTGATTTTCTGCTTTTTCTTGTTTTACATTATTAATTAATTGAATATTTTGTGGTTGTAGACAAAACTGGACATTAGAGGATGTCATCTTGGGCTATTTTTTTTTATGTTTCTGACTGTTTTTTGACGACAAAAACTCTGCCAACAATTTGTCAATAACAAAAATAATCAAATAATAATTGTAGGGCAGTTGTATTAGACCACATGGACAGAAAGAATAAGCCCTGTTAGTATTAACTTTTTTCATAGTTCTTGTAGCAGCAACATTGTAGAACAGAGGAAATAGTTTGATCATCACCTACGATTTATCTACATCATCTTACCTTGAACAGGTGTGAGCATCATGATGGCAACAATACAGAATAGTAGTCCTTTCATTTTGAGTGGAATACTTCTTCCATTGACTGCATCATGCGGACTGCTTAGGGGTCCGAAAGCAGGGCTGAAATTGGATTAGTCAGGAATACACCTGCTAATTGTCCCGCACCAATCACAGCTGCCGGACGGCTGCAGATAATCAAACAAGGGGAGTTTCGATTGTAAGGTCTGTGAGAGACGAGTGTGGAGTTTGGCAACCAGAAGGATTTAATGTCTCCTTAAATTTCAGAAAATGTCATTTGGTTTATTAGCTGCTTTAACAGAAGATACAGCGTGAATGTTACATATAAAATCAAGCCGGTAACTCATCCCGCTGCTTAGATGAAATAACGAATGCCAGATGTAGACAAAAGGTGGTGGAAAACATTTCTCCATCCAGCTGATGCTTCTCACTTCTTTTTACAAAGACGTCTTTACTGAAAGTCTTTGAGCAGAAAAAGACAGTTTCTTCAGGCTGGTTGATCCTCAGCCACTCACATCTTTTTATACCAAAAAAATGTTTATCATAGCTCCTCTCTCTCTTAAGGAACAGAGAAATTGCATGTGTCCTGAGTCAGCGCAGGGTTAAGCAGCTTACAGCCTCTGGTACGTCTGCTCAGATATGTATCAACACACACACACTAATCTCTCAGAGGAGGGAATTCGATTCAGTTGTATTCTCAATGCAGCAAAAAATGTGTGTTGCTGAATTATGTAACAACACTGTCGTGTACACACACACACACACACACACTGATGTACACATGAGAAACCTCAAAGATGGCTTGTATTCTCCGTTGCTGCAGTGCTGTTGTTGCATGTGCGTAAATGATATTGACATTCCTTGTAAATCAATACGCAACATGTGTATGAAGAAACAGGAGTATAATTAACAGAGCTGACATGGTTGCTTGATTAATCATTTGGGTCATTTCTTAAGAAACAATGTCAAACATTTGCTGGTTTCAGCTTCTTAAATGTGAATATTTATTGCTTTTATTTGTCTTATATGATAGTAAACTCAGCATCTCTGAATTGTGGGCAGTTGTTTGGACAAAACATGCAATTTTATGCAATTTAAAGACATTTTTCACTATTTTCTGACAACCTTGTGATCATTTTAGAGGATGTGGTGTGTGGCTCTGGAACTGTATTGTATAATACAGAGAGGTTATTTAGCCTATCCTCATTGATATAAACGGGGTGGACGCAAGAGAATCGAACAGCACGACAAACTGCAGCCTCCAAAATGATGTTGAATGATGTTGAACAACCCCTCTAAAACATTATATAACCTTCATTATTATTGCAGGTCTGTTGTAGTAGACTGCACTAGTTTCAGCTGGGTGTACCTAATAAACTGGCAACTGAGTGTAGAATAAAAAATCGACATAATATCCAGATTACTGAAAATAATCTTTGGTCGCAGCTCCGCCATGCAGCACATTTCCTTCTGAATGTAAAGACACCAGAGCAGCTTACACTGCGAAGGACTGGTGTATGTGTGAGAGTGCAGAGAGAGCTGCTTTTTCTGAGCGATAAGTGCGAAGGAGGCTGCTTGCAGCTTGTTGCAAGATTCCGACACATCTCCCCAACTCATCCCTGCTACTGAGAGATACATGCAGCGCCTCCAAAACGGCACACTGTACCGACACAAAACCCTCTTACTGAGCCTGTGTATGTGAATTTATGTGTGAGAGAGAGAGAGGGAGATGGGTGCTGTTTTTAGTGAGCGAAATGTGTGGCTGCAAATTACTGTACACTTCAGTCTCAGTCGTCATCTGGATGGCAGGATCCCAGCATGGGCCCGAACAACAAGGAAATACTCTGCAGTCCTAAAGCACCTATAAAACCTTCAGACTGATCCCCTGTGTAATTAGAGGCTGGAGGAGAAAATGCTGGCGATAATTAAAATCCTACCTCCTTACCTCTCCGCCTGCTAATAACCCATGGGGCTCACTTTTGCTTAATTGGACCCGATAACTTTTTTTTCCTTTTTTACTCTGCATTGTTTTGCTCTACTTTCTGTATTTTGGCTGTTTTGCACAAGCCAAGGACCGAGACGGAGGACGGAGTATTTGAATAAAGCGTAGGAATCAGATGATGAAGAGAGAGAGAGAGAAGATGAAAGGTCGGGATGGTGGAGAGTGAGCTTTTAGGTCACGATTCACCTGGGCTGCTTTTCATCAGTTAAGGCCTGCGTCAGGAAGTATCTCAACAACAGCCTCACCAAATTTCATTTTTTTTTTTTTTTTGAAAAGTCCTTGCTGCTTTTCTTTTGTATCACCATCGTGATTGAAATTCTTTAAGATCTCACCTCACTACACTCGAGAAAAAGGGAAAAAACTGAGCGGCTGACACTGTTAATAAAAATTGTTGAATTACAGTAAAAACAACAACTAAAACTTCCACACTTACATGTGTACGGAGAACCAGCTGGTATTTATAGTGTGGCTGTAGGTGTCNNTGCTTCTCTTGTTTATACTGAGACACAATTTCCCTCAGATAAAGAGTAGACTACAGTATGTGTGAGATTAGATAAAGACTCATTTGAGACCTAATCTGGCTCATCCTCTTAACCAAACCTCTCCAGCAAGGAAATGTAGACGCTGTATCTCTGTAAAGAGGATGTGTGTGTGTGTGTGTCAGAGAGAGAGAGAGAGTGAGTGTGTCCATCTCCCTGTATGGCCCCCAAATAAGTTTTCAGCAATCCTCCTCACGTCCAAATATGGTCAAACAAGCAGTGGCTTTTGGGATTTTGGGCACGGGTAAGTTCAAAAACAACAAGATGGCGAGTTGACATCAAACAGCATAGCTCCAATCTTTCAAATGTGGGTGAGTCAGAGAACGATGTAGGACAAAAACACCCTTCACAGACAGTGAGTCAGAGCCACTGCGCCACTCGGAGGCACTAAAACATACCAACAAACATTTCATCTGTTTATTGAGGAATGCATAGTCTTGTCTTTAGAGTGTGTCTGCACGTGAAATGTTCAAATGTATCTCATCATGCATATTTTATGAGACAGTAGAAGTTGAACCCGGCAGGGGGTTCAGTGTTGAGGCGGCAGAGGAGAGCCTGTCCGTACGTTGAAGTTGATTTCACTGGAGTTGCAAGAGTCTGAGTAGACGGAGCAGTGAGAGATGGACGGGCAGGGGGAGGGAGGGTGAGGAGTTGGCTCCTGGTGGTGCAGAACTTGGGCCAGCAGGGTTGACCTTTCCTCCTTCTCCTCCTTCTCTCTGTCTTTGTCATCTCTACCTCCAGCATCTGAAGGTGGCGGCGGCGATGATGGTCCGCTGCTAATGTTGTCCCTGCTCCTGCGAGGAGGAGGACCACAGTTCTGGTTCGAGAGGGGCAGTGTGTGGGCCGGCGTGGCCCAGCATCCCTGCTCTTCGTCTTTACACTCCCACTGCTCCTGACAGCTGAAGCTGGGCTGCTCCTGCGAATCCTCCCAGCCGCTTCCTCCCTTCAGATCCTCAAGGTCGTCAGGTGTCCCTCGTCCCTGTCCCCGGATTTCAAGGTCCCTGTTCTCGTACAGCAGCGTGGCGGCGCAGATGAAGATGAACAAACCCACTCCCATGACCGCAGGCCCGGCCAGTTTCATCCTGTCAATGGGGGTGGTGTCTCTGCCGGCCACGGGCTTTGCTTTTGCTTTTGCTGCGGATATGTAGCCCGCCACCGCAACACCCATCCCCACCAACACCACCGCTACACCCAGCATTAGCCACACACCTGGGGCAGAGCGCAGGTGCAGTTTGGTTTGGAGGACTGTGCCTTTCCTCAGGTGTCTCTGGCATGCTGGGAGGCAAACGGGTGATGACTGGGTGGAGCGGGAGGAGACGGGGCTGCAGACGGGACTGGTTGCTGTCATCCTCTGGCTTCAGACTGAACAGGGGAGAAGACGACACGGAAAAGAGGACAGAGAGCAGAAACGTAAGAATTAAGCAGGAAAGCGTTGCATGCAGCATCAGAGGCAGAGCTCTGGGTGTTGGAGAGAAGATAGTTTACTCTGCATTGCACTCAACAGGAAATAGCTGCTTTAATAAGACATGTGGCCGAGTTAATGAGATGCCAACCCTTCTGCAGCTCCTCCAGTGTCTCTGTGGAGCCACACACAGACTCTCTGAACTGTTATTCAAACACTCTTTCAATATAATGGGAATAAACACGACTGACCCCTTTCAGGACCATGGGACGTTCACTTCACAATCACACTGCAGTCATGGAAATAGTCACATTACCGCGGTACTTGCTCCAACTGAACTCATGATATAATTCCCCCCCGGGGGCAAGTGAACGGGTGACTCAACAGGACGCAAACGAGGATGATAAATTGCCTATCAAGTCCTGTTTCATAAGTGCTCTTCTTACGCATGCATTTTTAATGTTGTATTTTAATTCGTGGTGCTCGACAGCACTGTTGCTGACTACAGTTATTCACTGCAGTCAACTGTTCGGTTACTTTAACGCAGTTCATATAAAATCACATTGAGTACTTGCCTTGTTCTGAACGTCAATCCGAAGCATAAACTGGGTCCTCGGCATTATCAAAATAAATAACCCCGAGTTGCGTTATTCCCCCACTCCTCCGCGTTTGATTCGCGGTTAAATCCCGACTTTCACCCAGTTCCTCCTCAGATTTAGACGTTTTTCATCCTTGACTTCACTGTGTGAGCCAGCGGCTGCTGCGGAGCCTGAAATGTGGCTTTTATATTAAGTCTCACTAAAAGTGGTGCAAAGCTGCTCTGCCTCTCTGTCTCCTCGCTGCTTGTGCGCCTATGCAGCCTGTGTTTTGATTTGTCTGTGTGTGTGTGTGTGTGTTTGTATAGAGGAGGGGTCGTGGGAATCTGTGACTGGTCCAGGCCAGTCCCACGGTAAGCCCAGTTATTCTTAGTGATCACCAGCCATCAAGAGTTAAAGTACCAAAAGAGAGAAATGACTGAACTCCACCAGAAACATGAAAAATGTAAATACATAAAAAAAACCAAACAATAAAACACCCGTTACTGAAAGACACATATATCTCCTTTAATACAAATACTGCATACAACCCTGCACACTTTACATTTCTTAAACACATAATCTGCAGTGTGGTTTCCAGTCAGTTACAGCATGAAAATCAATTAGCAGATGCTTGTATTTTGCTTAAAGGAGAACTCCATCAATTTTGCACATCAAAGTCTGTTCACAGGTTTGGGGGAGGACTACTGCATATGTAACAAAAGGTTGCTTCAAGCCTTTAGTGGCTCCAGAGGGAGCTGTGTGAAGTCTGATTTAAAAAAGTCAGTAGTGTTTTGTTGGTTTGTCACTTCTAGCAGTGAAGTTGCAGATATATTTGATTACAGCTCAGAAAGTGTGCAGGAGAAACTACAATGG